GGTAATGTCAGTGGACACAACATCTGCCCTACGAGGCGGGGAAAAGAACACACTGCCCTGGATCAGCATCTTTGTCATTCGATGCAAGTAAATGGTACGATGGATGCTGCTGCTCCGGCGTGCCTGGAGAGCTCAGCTGGGTGGCCGACACATCTTGCATCACAGTACGGGCTGCACTGGTGCAGTATAGGTCACTTGTAGGAGATAGCTCGGAGAGCGGTAGATGCGAGGTGGCCGCAGGGGCAACTAGAGAAGTGAGGAACAGGCTACTAGAGGGAACTTGCCCATAGGCCTTCAATGTACCTCTGTGCTCCTCTGGCCTCACACGAGTGATTCCCACTTCGTACCATGCGGAAAAGCTTTCAACTAAGAATCAGATTGCGAGATATACAAAATCCGGCTGATAGTGATTACAGCAGAGCCAAAAGTGTAATCAGACAAAAATCGAACGGATTTTGGACAGGAGCGCTCAGATTCTGCTGCAATCGGAATCTGGGTCACACGATTATCAAAATCCCGCAGATAGTGCCCAGGATGCTGTCCGCGGGGGCCCTGTGTAGCCTGTCTCAAGGCTGCGTTCAAGATTGGCGCCTCTCTGTTAATGCTAGCAGCCGGCCTCCAAAACGCTACTTCGAGGCCCCCAAAGGGTATTGAAATTAAAAGGGTTTCATACCGCTGACCAGGGGGACGACATGCTTAAAGCTCGAAATTTGACGCGGCCCTGACGCATGATGCATGGTGTGGCGCCGCTCGGAAGACATGCGACCACGCGGTGCTACAAGCAGTGTGTCCAGGGTCTGAGACAACGCGGGTCGTAGCGTGCCACCCAAGCTCAACGCAGTCGGGCGTTTCACCTGCACCCGCGGAGGTCCCGCAATATAAAGTGCTGGGCAGCGTCGTCTCTGGCCGACAACCGAAGACGGCCGAACGCATATGTCGCATCTCTTGCGGAGTTGCAACAATCATGACGCGTGCGGGCGGGCGAGATTTGAGCAGCATTCGGCTCCCGCTATGCACCGACCTGACCACAAGTCTGTGGAGAGTAATCAGCGCGAAGTACGGGCCATGCGTCAGCGATCCTGTGGGCCGGAAAACGCGTCACCTCGTGCGTAACGAATGTACTTGGGCCGCCTGTCGCCCTTCGTAGCTTCAAAGCTTCGCCGGCACCAAGTAGAAGCGGACCTCCCATGTTAGTCGACCAGTTGCTTATTTGAACCCAGTGATAGCACTTCCGTGTTTGTGTGCATACATAAATCCGGTGATAATGTACATACAAGTACACTACATGGATGGGGCGATAGACAACTATGTTGAATGCTGAGAACGAGAAACCCAGAGACCCGATGAACCGGACAGTACCCACCAGCAACCCGTAGCGAGAGCGAGAAAAGCGAAACAGTCATTTCAAGACGAACCAGATGTAGCCTGCCTCAGATAAAGGGAATGCGAGTAAAGCGAATGGACACCCACAGACGAATGCAACGTGATCCAGTCGATGTGCTCAGGTAGCTCCGTCGCCGAACACCTGCGAAGACGACTCGCCGAGAGGAAGCGGCGGGATGTGAGACGCCGCGCACATAGGAATCATCCCGTTCGCGATGGAGTGACGGCGGGCGCGTTCTGCGACGACCGGGTACTCAGGCTGTACCGAGTCGGTTTCCAAAACGTGATCCGGGGGTTGGCTTAATGCCCGTCTCTCCGATTCGAGGTACTGAAGCACCATCACTAAGCATAGATACCGCGATGTGGTCTATAAAGGCTAACCTTGTGCTCCTCAGTCATCAACCGCTGATGCAGCTTTCGTGTCTGATTCTGCATGTGTACGAGCAAGGTCTGTATCGATGGCCATCGTCAGCTTAGCAGAGAACTCAAGCTTGGGAATAACCTGCCCGTATTGTGGGGCTGTTTAAGCCGCGGTACGAGTCGATACGCTCCAGCCGCGAAGGGGCGTGACCGGCTAGCCCGATTTGATCATGCAGCCAGAGGATGTACTGCTCGAGGCACTCCAAATAGTGTCTCTTCTTATCGTGAGACGTTACCGTGTCTCTACGTTGCAATAGTTGGTATACTATCAATAAGGGCGATCAAGACTGACTCACGGGTCGGTGGGCTGAAACCCGACGTTGTCAGCTACGGAGCGGAAGTAGCCTTTTCGAAGGTTTTCCGGCTTGCCGGGCTGCGCTGGCCGAAGAGTACTTGGAATCCTCGCGCGATTCCTGGCCCTCGCGGCAGGTTGGCTGGGAGGCGAGGGAGGATCCGATAGCTGACAGGCGTCTAGAACCTCAACGGGTACGTGAGCACCTGACACAGCGCTCGCCTCAGACTTGTCCTGCATGAGGCCATTCAATAGTTCGGACGGCGTCGGGAAGGTGGCGTGAAGAGCGGTGTATGGCTCCACGGTACCGCGCGACTTAAGGTCCCCGTCCTCCGAGATATCGAAAGCTGGGGGAAGAGGCGGATGCTCAGGAGCAGGTGAAAGGGCGATGATAGTTGGATGTGAGTGCGCCACATCCTGTGAAGACTCGTGGAGAGTCTCTGCCTGAGGGGATTTTGGGGAGGATGTAGAAGACTCTTGAGAGGCGTACTCGACATGAGCGAGAAGAGTGGAGTAGGCGGATACGGGGATCGGAGAGTGGATCAGAGGAGTAGACTCGTTCGGCGGTTCGTGCTGACCGTGCTGGGGCGGATAGTCCTCGTACGTCGAGGACAGTGACGGAAAAGGATCAGAATAGCGACTATCGTCATAAGGAGGGAGAACTAATGCGGGTGGGGAAAGCGGCGATTGCCCCAGGAAAATGTGCGGGTCGAACAGCGGGTAACTGGCGGGTGGGAAGTACAAGGGTTGATGAGCGTGCTCGCCATGAGCGTAGTAGTCGCCACAGGCTGGCTGTTAAAGGTATCAGCGATGCTGTGAGGAGCATTGGGGGCGGGAACGCGCACCTGAAAGTGGCCGTGGACGAAGGATGCGAAGGACGACTGCATGACGACAGAGGAGAACGTCTAAGAGGTCCCGGAGCGACATAGAGCTTATATGGCTTGTGGGTGACTGGAGGACCAGCGCTTGTCACAGTATGTGCAGATCTCGACGATCGGCCCCCAGATCCATGCCACGCACGGAGACACGTCCCATATCTGGCAGGTGCGCCCTTCGATGGAGGCGGGACCGCTGCTATCGCACTCTTTGCGCCCACAGGTAATACAACTTCCATGCGCCTGTCACCGCGCACTCCACCCTACAACAGCCATCAGGGACCACCAGGTTGGCGTCTCAGGACCCGGGCCCTCCCGCTGCTGTGTAGACTTGTCCCCGAGCCGAGGCAAGGAAGGCCAGGCAGCCCCTGGCACGACGGTGTGTAAGCGCGATTCATGCACGTCATAGCCCTATGTCACCAGTAGTCGGAACGACACTGCTCACCAGGAAGGAGGTTGTGGTGGACAACGATCGCAATAACCACATTTTCGGGTGGGCGAGAGCTTTGTGTAGCCTGTCCGATTGCGACGCAGAATTCTGCACAAGCTGGCGTACCTGCGGGAGAGTGGCAACCCAAAGTCGCAAGAGTCTCACCACCTTGGTCAGGGCAGTGGTGGCTCGCGGGAGAACAGCCAAACTGGGACTGCAGTAACGTATCTGATGCGCGGACTTGTTGGCTCGCGGAGCTTAAATGGCAGCGTCATGATTGGGCACGCCCTGCCTGAGAAAGCCTTTCCGGTGCGTGGTCCCAACAAGGCAGTCGACCAGCTTGGATTAAGCAACAGACTCACGGCATATAGCCGAGGTATTACGTCGACCACCCAGGGCCATACGCATCTAAGCTGCAGTCTCGGCTGGTCTGCCGAGCGGACCAGCGGACCAGCGGATACGACCCGGCTGGCTTCCGGCCGTCGAGAAGATGGCCCCGTGTGGTCAAGGTTGCACGTCTTCGAGCTACCTCCAATTTATTTAATTAACTAAATTGGCGCAGTATGGGGCAATCAACTAGACAAGGTTCTCGGTCAATAGCCTCGGGACCCAATCGAGCGGTTCGTGGCAGCATCGATTGACTTCCGCCACACCGCCAAAGATGCCCCGACCCCAGAACATATATACTGAATAATGCCCACGTCGCTCCTCGGCCAGCTCTGTCAGATACTAATCATGAGCGCTCTTCCAACAGCCGCGTCCCTCCTCAACGACATCGAAAACGAGGAGAACAGACCTGCGCACCCCGTGTTGCATCGTCCTGAGCTGAGGCTGCATACAGACATGTTGTTAGTCTCAACGTCGGCCTCTCCGGCGAGCGCAACAGAAACTATCCCAGATAGTGCAGACACCACCGATTCGCCCACGGACACGGTCGTAGATAACACCCCGCCCAGCCTTACGCTAGATGCACTTCATATCGCGAGCAATCACGGGTCCCTCGTCGCTCCCCCCGTACGCGTTCATGCAACATACGCGTCTCCTGGCGGTACGCACGCGCCCTACGTGCCGTCACATCCCCTCTCGGACCCCATCTACCGTTTCCCCAGCGCGCCACAGCTGCCAGCGACAGGTCCAAACGTCTCTGCTCCGGACATAGTTATATCTGCACCGGAGCCGCGCGAGCAGCCGGGTGTCTTCCCAGCTCGCAGACTTGCCCACTCGAGTTCCCTCGACTCGTATGTTTCCAGTTCGTCCTCTTCGGCGTCGACGAGCCCTCGTGCATCGCTCGCTCATCCCTATGCGCGTATATACGCCGAGAAAGCCGAGGCGCCGATGAGTCCTCGTGCATCGCTCGCCCATCCCTATGCGCGCATATACGCCAAGAAAGCCGAGGCGCCGACGGTAAAACGCAGGAAGATGTGGAACCATGCTCTCGAGAAGAGCCTGTTCACGCCCGAGGAGATCGCGAGCCTTGGTGCGCCCATTCGTCGCGCTATTTACACCGCGAGCCTCGAGAACCACATCGACCAGCTGCACGGCCAGCTCCTCAGCATCGGGCTTTACCCGGTGCCATTCGAGGCCCTCGCGCCGTACCGCGGCTTGAATTCGAAGACGGTAAAGGTGAGTACCGTGCTGAGATTTGACTCGATGAGCCCTGACAATTTTGCGCAGAGCATGGTCGCAGGTCTGCATAAAGACGAGTGCGATATGAAGACCAAACTAATGGAACTCGATCGTGCCGTGAGTACTTACCTCTTCACTTGCATCTTCGATCGCGCTAACGAGTCCGTCGCCGGACAGACCCAGGCCCTCTATCGCAACGGCTTGCTCAAGGGGGAGGCGCCGGACGGGAGTTCTTCAGAGGGCGCGGGCACCCAAGCTCGTCGTCATTCGGTTGCGGCGGCGTCATATGTTTATCCTAACCTGTTTGCCGGGTCGTCAGATGCGACCAAGTCTACGCACCACACTGTCATGTCATAATCATCCGTCGCGCGCGCGAGTTAGTGCAATACTTCGTATAATTTGTATTTGATGATGTAGATTGCAACCATAGTGTCATATCTCGCTTGGCATCGTTCTGAGTGCGGTGGTTCCTGGTCGACGTTGGAGACCTGCCGCCGCCACGAGGCCTTACGCGCCGAAGACGGAACACAAGTTCTCACGGTGAGTCGCTTGGGCAGTCGAGTCCTGGCGCCTGCACGCCTTGCTTTACAGCACCTCTCGCCTTTGCACCGGTCTCTTCCTCCTCTGACTGACCTTCCGCTACCCAACACATCATGGACAAGGCAGATCTCGAGACGTATCAAGCTCAGCTTGACCAGGTCGAACTGGCCCTGCAGTCGGACCCGTCGAACACCGAGCTCTCGTCGCTCAAGGCCGAGCTGCAGGAGCTGATCGAGCTCACGAAGGCCGCGATCGCGCAGCAAGAGGTCGCCGCGTCGTCGTCAAAGGCAGAGACGTCGCGCAAGGCGGCGCATGCGGCAGCGGCGGCCGCGCAGACGAAGGCGTTCGTCGCGGGCGATGACTGCCTGGCCAAGTACTCGGGCGACGGGCAGTGGTACCCGGCGCGGGTCGCCTCCGTGGGCGGGTCTGCGGAGAACAGGCAGTACAGCGTCGTCTTCAAGGGCTACAACACGACCGAGCTCGTGAACGCGGCGCAGATCAAGCCCGTGCCGCCCGGGTACGTCGCGCCCGCGCCTTCGGCGGCGGGCAAGCGGAAGCTGACGGTGGCGGAGGAGGAGGAGCGCGAGCGGAAGAAGAAGAAGAACGAGAAGAAGCTCGAGGTGAAGGCGCAGAAGGCCAAGGAGCAGACGGAGAAGCAGCAGACGTGGCAGAAGTTTGCGAAGAAGAGCGAGAAGAAAGGCATCCACATCGCGGGGGTGGCGGGTACGAGCATCTTCAAGACACCGGAGAACCCGCTTGGCAAAGGCGAGCATCATTCATGTGGCGTTGTTTCAGGTTGGCTGACCTGTTCGCTTTGTAGTCGGTGTCACGGGCAGTGGCAAGGGCATGACGGAGGTCAAGTTGCCCGGCAAGCACAAGTTCGACCCGAGCCTAGACCAAGACGCCTGAAAGGGCGATATTCTTGGTGCGCGGCGAATTCTCTTGTGCGATGCCACAGTCATTTATGTTCTTTGCAGATATTTAACTATACGTTTCTGCTTTCTGTACCCTTTATCCGCGGATAATAACTCCATGCTCTGGAAGGCTGCAGGTGTCTGTCCGACCACATTTCAAGATCATTGGCCGCTTTGCGGAAGGACGCCCAAACAAGCTAAGCCCACTCATGACTTCTCCCGTCGGTACTGTGTGACCCTCAAAAATGCTTCTTCTCCCGGACACCTACCCCAGATGTTCTCGTCGCGACGCTCGCCGGTGGCATGCCAAGTACTATCGCCGTATGTTGTAAAGCGTATTTAGATTGACTCAAAGACTGACTGGCCCAAACGCTCGCGTCTGCGACTGAATACTCGCCTCCACTTGTGGTGAGGTCCGTCTGATCAGTGACATGCGCGGCGGGACGTGCTGATAGGCCATTCGTACACTCTACCGCTGCACTGGGCTCCTGTCCGATGTCGCATTCTTCTGGAAATCAGTCACGCCCCCTGCTTTGGCCGATGCTGGTCGATGTCTACGAACGATCGAGGAAACAGGACCCCAGTTTGTTGGCCGACGTACGATTCGTTTTCTATCCATGTTCTCGGCTTGCTGCTCGGTTTTTCATTTTCGCTGGGCAGTGTGCTGTCAGCGCCGTGTTCGCGACTGTGCGAAGATCCGGTACGCTGCCGAGCAAGTGAATGCAGCGGTCGGTCCTTACGGAGATAGAGTACGCTTGTCAGCATATGCCTCTGTCACAAAACATGCAAGACTGCCTGTTCTCGGCTGGGCAGCGTGTGCACCGTCCTCATGCGACGAAGTATACCGTCATAGTCGCGATAAGGGAGCAAAAGGCGGGTCCAAGTTAGTGCACTCAACGGCGTCGGTATGGAAGCGTCTGCCATGCAGGAACTAGGATCCACAGAAGGACGCCACCAGGGCCAAAAGTGTAACATTAACGGCCATATCTATTAGACGGCACGTATGCAATCCTTTGAACTCGTCATCAAAGTTTTGGGGTCTCCAGATGTGATTTTGTGTGCGGGCACGAGATCGGTGTACCTGTCGTATGCATCGGGAAGGTCGGCGGCCCATGGCGATCTCCGTCTAGCGTGACGAGCAGAAGGGAAGCTGCTTTTCCCGTTCGGCTGGGGCTCGACAGGTGGCGTACCACGTCTAGGACAGCTGAATGCGAGTTTCAGTGTGATTTCGCTTTAGACTGACGGGGGGTGTCGTTTTCGAGCTCGCCACTAATTAGACGACATGGCCCGACGACGAAAACCGCCTCGACTGGCGGTCGCGCCGTAGTTCAAGGCTCGGTTATCTCGGACTCGCCTCGCGCGCGCGGGGCCTAGGGCCAAAGTCGCGCCGGGAGCTATGGACAGCGTTGGGCCGAATCCGTGCCAATTATGGGCACGTACGGGTTCCAGGTGTTCTCCCGACGGCCGTGTTCTGGCCCTGCTGACGGGTTCCCTCAGCACGCAATTAATCGCGGCTGCGTGGCCTCTCGCACACACGTCCGGCTTCTAGAAACCGGGTGCAAAGCCCTGAGCGTGGAAGGAGAACCCCCCGAGGCGCGTGGCTATCGCCTCTCCCGTGAGCCGTCTGCCTCCGCGAGGTATGCCTATCTGCAGCGGATCTGGCAGGTCGACCGTTATTCCAGGCAATCCCCGCCACATGGGCCGTCTTCTGCGGACAATCACGGCAACTTTCGCCACGCTTGCACAGTCCTCGGTCCTGTGCCTGTAGTACAACCCGTAGCCCAAGGCATCATTGTCGCTATATGCTAGTACACCGCGCGGTCGTCGGCCTAGAAACACGCCGCCTCTGGTGCATGCGCATCCCGCGTCGTATATGTGTGCCTGAGTAGATGGCGCGTTGGCGGCCATGAAAATAGTATGGCGACCGCGTGTGCGAGGTGGGCGGTGTGAGCGGCGGCAACAGGCGCTCTTATCGGTCAGCGAAGAGCTCCTCATACGTACTAGTGCTGTCCAGAAACAGCCTCTCCACGAAGGGCCAGACCCAAGGCATAAGCTCATTGCACTTTACTGAAACGTTGTGCGGGGAGTTCCGACCCCGCAGCGCGCGGACCGCGGCGCACCACTCGACCTGGGAAAAGGCAAGTAGCAAAACCAGGTTGTGGCCCCACCCTAGAGACACGACGTGTGTACGTATTGGCCGCAAGGGTTCGCCTGTGCCACCGGATCTATTCGACCGTGTCCACGGCGAGACTTTACATAACGTGCAGCTAGGAGGCGAGGAGAAATGCCAGGAATATGCACCAAAGATACGAAGGGGAAAGAAAAAAGGAAACAAGGCAAGGGGTCAGTCCCAGAAGCCTCCGCGGTCCAGTTTGACTCTCGTGTCCTGCTTCGCCTTGCTGCCCTTGTGCCGGCCCCCGACCTTCTGCGCACCGCGCTTCGAGTGGTATTTGCGCTGCTGCTGGGCCCGGTGCTTCGACGCCTCCGTCGCGGCACGCTCCTTGATGTCCTGCTCGTGCCGGGATGCTATAGACAGCCCGGCTGTGCGCTCAGCCAGCTCGTCGCCCGACTCGCCCGACTCTGCCGATTGCCCTTCTGACGGATGACGAGACGCAGGCGGCGAGCGCGAGAGGGCGCGTGCACGAATGGGTGACAGCACTGTCTCCTCGGCATCGTCACACGGAGGTAGCGACTGAGCTCGATCGCCACCCCGCGGGGGAAGAGAGGGGTCCCCGGCAGGGAAGCCGCCGCGGGGCACAATGAGGGAAGACGAAGGCTCGAGTGACGAACCGTCGCGACTCGCACCCGGCTCCGCTTGTTTCCGAGCCACGGCGCCCTCGTTCGTTTGCGTCCCCGACTCGGCATCACTCTCCTCTTCCTCTTCTTCTTCCTCTTCTTCTTCCTCCTCTTCTTCCTCCTCTTCTTCCTTCTCCTCTTCCTCCTCATCGTCATCTTCGGGATCGTCATCTTTGCCCTCAGACTCTTTCACAGAGTCGATGTACTAATAGCGACTAGTCAGCACTTGTCAGAGTGCACAGCCACGAGTAAACTCAGTACCTCTTCCAATGTCTTCTGATCGCTCTTCTTAAACCCGCTGGCCGCCACCACGACGTCCAGGCGGAACCCAGCGCCGTCTCCGTCGCCGCCCTCTCTCATGGTTCTCTTGAACCGCGGATACAGCTTGCTTTCGTAATGAAGCCGTCTCCGGAAGAATGTGCGAATACACTCGACGTCGCGATTGAAATAGCTGCAGAACAGAGGCGACGTTCAGCGCACACGCCCGTCAGTAAGCTCAGGGAGGGCTTGGCTTACTATTCTGCGTTGACATGCGACGTGCTGACCATCTGTGGAAAGTCGATCACGACAGGTTCGCCCGTCTCCCGTCGGATCAGGATGTTAAACTCGTTGTAGTCGCCGTGGATCAGTCCGGCGTGGGCAAAGCGCACAATGAGGTCCATAAGAGTCGAATACAAGGCCCCAGGCGAGGCCACGTCAGAAACTTGTCGGCTGAACGGCTCGGTTAGACGAAAGTGGGGCTGGTGACACAGGCACGCACAGAGGGTACGCATCAATGAACTCCATCAAAATCGTGTGCCGTGCCTGGTCTATCGGGCGAGGC